TGCATAGATAAAACTCAAGGCTGACATAAAGCATTAATATAAATACAAACTCCCACTAAACCAGAATGTTCTCAAATAGAACAACACCCATCTGAGCAGTGTGTTCATGAAAGACCTTGGGTGGTAGTCCCTTCGTAAGTGGATCCGCTATCATGGAGTTTGTCCCAATGTGTTCTATGGAAATCTGTCCACTCTGCACTCTTTCTTTTACAACTAGGAACTTGATATCAATATGCTTTGATTTTGTCGAGCTCCTGTTGTTGTTGGAATATAAAACTGCAGACTTATTGTCACAATATATCTTAAGTGGTCTTTCAGTGCCTTCCAAAATACGCAACCCAGTGACAAAATTCCGCAGCCATATCCCTTGGTTTGATGCCTCATAACATGCTACAAATTCTGGATTTCCTACTGTCTTGGCATCCAGCAAAATCGGAGTCGGAATATTCAATGACCTCTAACTTATCCAATCTCCTATATGTGAGCATATATTCCTTTGTTCATGGCTTCTATCCACTTATGAGAGTTGGAACTTTCCATGGCTTGACGAAAGTTGATTGGATCATCTTTCGTCATTCCATTTTCTACCTCATGTTCTTGGAGATATACAATATAATCATTTGAAAATGCAAATCTCCTTTCTCTGGTGGATCGCCTTAATGGCACAGATTCTTGAGGTTGAGGTTGTAGAGTTTGTTCCTCAGGAACAATTACCTCATCGTGAATGGTCAAGATACCTAGCACAACATTAATACCAAGTCTTTGGGTAGTGATATTAACTGTAAGTGGTATTCTTGTTGTAATGATCAAACATTGACAATAAGTTATGTCAAATAACAAATCTATCTTTTGATGGATTTATTATTCACATTAGGTTTTCTTGACAATTGGTACATGTTTATCACCACAAAAATGTGTGTGTAATTCTGCCAAGTCTTAATCATGTCTTTGGACCGATAAATACCCGCATGAGATACACAGACATGAACTTCAAAACATTCCATATAAAACAATCTAGACAAGAGAGATCACTTTTGTGACATCTTGTTTGAATTGACTTATATTGAGAGTGTTAGAAAATTAAATTTCTGTAGACGTTGTATGAAATTACATTAAATTTAAAGATTTCTAAATTTGTGACCCCGTATATGTTATATAATCTGCAGCAATTCCAATTATATATATACATATATAAATAGAATTGACGGGTCCAAAAAAAACTGCCCACCGAATCATTTTACAATTCCAGAAAACAGATTGCCATTTTCACAGAACAAAACAGGAAAAAAACAGAATTTACATCCATAAGAAAATTCAGAATCTGATTCCAGGAAACTAAATAGAATGAATAAAGCATATCAATTCTGATAAGACACATGATATGCATGCTCTGATACCAATTGTCAACATAAATTTCAGAACATAAACCTTACACTTTTGATCATTTACCATGTGTATTATCAAGAAATCAAGACAAAATGACATACCTGAATCCATTGATGAACGGTTAAACGGAAGCGTGATTATCAATGAACTCTTTGTTATTGATTATGTTATTGCCTTCTAATCCTTTCCCATTTGGTGCCTTATGTTTTTCCTTGAGAGGATTTAGGAAAAAAACAGTTACTTGGGAAGGAATAGGGACCATAACCTTTTAAAGGTTGTAATTGGTTTTCATAATTGAAAGGTAATGAAAACCAATAAATTAATCATTATTGGTTTTAAAACTGAAAGGTAATGAAAACCAACTTTAACCAATATGTTTTAATTTCTATTTCTGCCCCTCATAGAAATAGAAATTATACAACTAGTATCTACACATTAGGTCCATAACACATATATACCCTTAAGCCTATTAACTAAATTGAATCACTTAAATTGTAGGCTTCTTATAAATGATAACACCACATTTAATTATGTGGTTCCATTGAGACATTATCTAACACTTGAACCCCACACATTATGGGATTCATACCCATGTTTTTTAAAAACAAAAATTTTTTAGGCAGTTAGAATTGTAAAATTGCTGAGAGATTTCTTATTTGGTGACGAAGCTTCGACAGGTAATAGTGTTGTCGCTGTTTTAATGCATGTTTAGGGTTTGTATAATACAACATAATCATGAAATGTTATATTATTAGATCATGTTTACGACAAACAGAATAATATTAATATATGGTGTTAGATTTGTTGTTGTGGGTAATTTATTATGTGAAAGTGCCAGTTGCGATTTCAACTGTCATTGTGTACAACAAGGAACAACATGACATGTGATCTAGATTTATGACTAGTCTAAAGTCCATGCAATTTGCACATATGAAATTAATTGACATCCGAAGCCAATTTGGCATATTCTCATTTGGGGATCAAAAAGTAGCAAAGAATTAACCACATAAATATATAGATAAAGTAATTTGAGTGAAATTATATATTTTATGATATGTCTCATTTTGTGATACTGCCAGATGATATAATCGTTATATTTAATATTTATTTTTTTAGACTACGGATGAGAAAGCGTCCCGCACCTCTTCACTCCATGTTGTTTTCTTGCCTTGATGAGACAGCAGAAAAATTTGCATATCTATCCAGTCTCATTCTAATTATATATATATATATATATATTTCTCATCTTAAATATTTTTTCAAAAATCTTTACTACTCTGCCTATCTTTTAAAATTTATTACCATTTTTCATTGACCAACTTCATCGTATAAAAAATGTTGTTACCATTCCCCATAGTATTTTGTTTAAATTGGGAGAAGAAGTTAACTAGTACCCAATGATCACATGGTCATGTATATTGAAAGAAATACACGAAGGCCCACTTTGCTATCACTCGAACAAACACTCTCACTTCAAATCTAACCCCAACTTGGGAGCACACAGGAAAAAAGAAGTTATGCTTCTCCCTCTCTCTCTCTCTCACACAAACATAACAAGTGTAGTCCACTGCTTTCTCCCATGCAATTGTCTTCTTCACATCCAACATCACTGTCTACGTTATGTACTCTCTCTTTCTCTCTTCCCCCTCCCCTCTCTCTCTCTTCTCTTCTTGTGGTCCTTCCTCTTTATATTTCTCTCTCTTAATTATCATTTTTTCATGTCATTCCATATCTAACACTAGTTCTTCTTTCTTCCTACAAGCCAGTGAAGATTCCTTTCTCTCCATATTAAACTACATAGGGTCAATTTTTGACACAGCCAAATACTCCCTATATTGCAAACAAACTATGTCTAGCAGAAGATCAAGGCAGTCCTCAGGTGGGACTTCGAGGATCACAGATGATCAGATCGTTGATCTTGTCTCCAAGTTACAACAACTTCTTCCCGAGATTCGCAACCGGCGCGCCAACAAGGTTCGCTCTCTCTCCTCTCTCTCTCTCTCTCTCTCTCTAAATGTATATACAAGTTTGTGTATGCATGTGTTTTAGTGTTTGTACGTGCGTGTATTTATATATATATATATATATATATGCGTGTCTTAGAGTTAAAATTCTTTTATGGAGCAATTTCAAAACAGTAGTATAGACACACAAAAAAAAAAAAAAAAAAATTACAAAAACATGTGGGGGTGCGATGGGGGCGTAAGTGAAAATTGTGAGAGTGCAGTGTGACTTGTATCCTTTTATATTTGTGTAATTTTTTTTTTCCTGATTGGGATGTAATTTCATTTTCTTTTATTTCTTGTAAATACAGTAATATTAAACATACAAATGTATATTAATACTATTTAAAAAAAATATATATATACCATTTATCTTCTTAAACACATATTAATGTATATTAATTGGTTATTATTCTTTTTTATATTGATCATTTACCATATATGTAGTTATGTAATTTTTGACCGTAGGCAACAAGAAAGTACACATGAGGTTAAGGGTCTTTATTACAGTCGCGTATATGGTTGGTCCATGGAGTGGGTGCCAACTCATGTTATGTCAAAAGAATTCACACGTAGCGCATCTTGACCATGTTCTCAACATAATCATATTAAAATTCAGGATCAAAAAATAAAAAATAAAAAGGAAAAGAAAAGAGAATCATATTAAAATCACTAATTATATGAATTTTAAGATATGCTTATATAGTTAGGGTGCAAAATTTCATACTTACAAGAAATGATTATCCTAAAAGGTAAGTCTAATTTTTCTTGTCATAATTTTTTTACAGTGATTTTGTGATACTTTTTTATTATTATTATTTTTTTTATCACATATGTTAGTAAAACACATAATTCAATTGCTCCACTTAAAATACTAGTTTAATGACTTTAAAATCACACGACCTAATCCTAACTACATAACTTTAAGCATAAGCCATCTAAAATCATATTCATCGTCTATTTTTTAAGATTGGGTTCTCTACAATGATATGATAATTCTAAACATTATTGCACAATTAGGTAAGTATATCAAGAAAAGGCCAAGATCCCCACCCCCTCCTCCCTGCCCTCTGTCTCTCTCTCTCTCAATACTGTTGAATCATATTAAAATATCCAATTACATGAATTTTAAGACATGATCAAATGATTATGTTGAATTAGGATAAGAGACATATGTTTGTAATTAAGTTGATTATTCTCATTATTGCCTATATCACACATTTTCCATTTAAATTGTTCTTATTATGTCTACTCAAATTTCAAATTTTAAATTTCATCTCCTTAATTCATCTACATTCAAAATTTTCTTTTTCTAGATGAGGGTTCTAACCTTCAACTATTTCTGTACATGCGATGCAGATATGCTTATAGTTTACATATATATGTGTGTATGTAGGTTTCAGCTCCAAAGGTGTTACAGGAGACATGCAACTACATAAGGAACTTGCACAAAGAGGTGGATGATCTAAGCGACCGACTCTCTCAATTGTTGGCAACCATTGATGCTAATAGTCCTGAAGCTGCCATTATTAGGAGTTTGATTATTCAATGAACTTTTCTACATTGCTCTATAGCTAGCTTGTTCTTCTTTCAAGGATTTAGTTAGTACTAGGCCAATCATGGGTTAGAAATTTAATTATTATACATGTATGATATGGGGTGATAAGGAAAAAGGTTGAGACCCCTTTTTTCTTGAGATTGATCAAATTTTTGTTTTTTGTTTTTTTTTTCCTCCTATCACTCACTGACATGTGTCTGTGGGAGTTGTGGGGTCAAGAAAAAAAAGGAGTCTATCATTTCTGAGGTGATAATAATATGAGTAGTGTTCCCTTTGAATACATGTAGTAACAATAAAAGGCTTTTGTACTTGCAAATTCTTCAATATATAAAGTTTAATTCAGTTATTGCTAGATTTAACTTTAATTTTTGATAAAGGCTATGAGGTGTTTTGTAAAATATAACTAACATTTTGCCATATTGAACAAGAGGGGCCACTGGACATCTTTTTGCGAAATTGATAGAAACCTTTACAAGTAACAGACACACACATCAATCTTGGCAAGGAGTACAAAAAATAGGTACAATCATATTGAAGAAGAGAGGAAAAAAAAGCTTGGTTGTCATTAATTAAAAACATAACTCAATTTACATGAAAAAAATATTGACAGTAATACTTTTTTAACTTCTAAAAAATTCAAAAGCTAAAAAAACTAATGTCAAGCTCACTTGTTAGACTTTTGACTCATTTTGTTCACCTAATTTTTATATACATATATTTTACATTTTTTTTTTCCTACTAGGATGTATAACATGGTCAACATTAATCTAAATCTCTAACATCAAGGTTAACCCAAAGACTAATACGTGAAGTCCTACTTAATCAGTCTTGTTACATATTTAGAAAATTTATTTACAATTATACCTCCAATTAAAATATGTGAATAAAATTTATTCTAAATATGACCAACAGCACATTACCTTTAAATTTAAAAGTCAATTTTTTGATTTTTTTAGGTCATATTACATGGCTATTTTTTTACATATTTTTTCTTAAAAAAAAAACCAAAAAGCTAACTTTAACGAAGTATTGTCTACTTAATTGTCATGGCTAACTGATTTTTTTTAATTTTTTTTTCTCTCTCTCTTTATTTTTTGCATCCCTTTTTTATTTCATTTAAATTGTCAAGATTGAGAATCTGACACCTAAGGCCAACTTCACTCCACCCGATAGCCCAGGTGTGGTGGTGATTGCTTTAATTTGTTTGAATTATCATTTTCCAAATATACACACTATCATATTTGTGTTTGAATCAATAAATAGATAGGACTTTTAGGCGAAACCAAACAGTGAACATTTATAGTAATTAATTTTTTCTTTTTTTTGTCTGGGTCTTCACAGGCAATGACAAAGGAGTTGACTAAGACACCTGTTGAGTTAAATTGTCGAATTCAGTAAAATGTTATAAGAATATATATATATTTTCTAGGTCAGGTTCTTAAATGCAATTAAAAAAAAAAAAATTTATTCCCAACACAGCCTTGTTGAGTTTAGCATTTTAAACAGTTTTTCTTTTTCTTTTTTAATATGTTTTAGTTTTAACTTTTGGAAAAAAAAAAAAAAACTAAAAATTAAACCCACCCCAAAAGCTAATTGAAAAATGATAATAACCACCAAAAAAAAAAAAAAAAAAAAAAAAAAAACCTCATTACAAACATGACTTTTTAAGCTGAGAAATTTCCGAGACCATATATGATTATGTTGGGTCGTAACCAATCACATTAAATAATAATTCAACTTTTGACGTAACAAAAGGAAAAATGTTGATTAGGTGTGATTATGCCTCATACATCCTTTTAAGAGATATTCATTTTATTAAATACGTACTAATTAGTCAAATCTTGATATGTCACTTAGTACATTTGGATTGAAACTTTTTTGTGTGATCAAAACTCGCTTTTTGTGTTTAAATCTCATTTTTGAAGTCTCTCTCTTGCTAAACATCAATTCTACCTAAATTTTGTACAATCAAGAATTGCTATCAGATTGAATACAAACCCTTTTTTTTTGGGTGTTTCCTGTCGATTTTGTTGCACATCTGCATTTGCATTTCTAGAGACATGAATAAGAAAAGAAAGGGACTACGCTTTTCACTCAAAACGTAAGGTCTTAATCCAAATACAACATCTAGATATTAAACATGAGGTGTTCATTGCTAGAAAATTTCTTGGTTTGTGTAGCAAGTAGACCATACAACAGTGAAAATTACAGTATGCGAAACAATTGACAACGAGACTCAACATTGGGACAACATTAACAAAGCAAACCTTTTTGAAAAAATAAAATAAAATTAAAAAAATCTCAGTATTTATTGACTTCTCCCAACTCACAAATAATTTGAAATTAATATGGAAAAAAAATAAAAAGAAAGATAACACAACAAATTTGGATAAATTAGGTATCAAGTTTCAGCTGTTATTTTGATAGGTCACACTACACTACAAGAAATAACACTTTTGGCAACAAAAAAATTGGTCGCTAAAAGTCTATTTTTGATCGGCAAAAGTTATCTGCGACCAATTTTTTTGGTCGCTACTTTGGTCGCCAATTGAGGGTCGGCAAAAGTAATTCGCGACCAAAATTTTAGTTGGTCGGCAAAAGTTGGATTTGCCGACTAAATTTTTGGTCGCTAATTATTTAATTACCGCAACTAATTTATTTTGTCGCTAAAACACTTTGGTCGCAAAAAGTCACCTTTTGCCGACCAAATTTCTTAGTCACCAATTGATACATTTCGCGACCAAAAAGTTTGGTCGCCAATTATCACATTCAACGATCAAAAAGTTTGGTCGCCAATTGTGACATTCCACAACCAAAAAATTTGGTCGCCATTTGTTACTTTTCGCGACCAAAACTTTTGGTCAGCAAAAGTGAGTTTCCACGACCAAGAGCTGTTTTAGTCGGCAATAGATGTATTTTTTGCGACCAAAACTCTTGGTCGGCAATTGTCATTTTTTGCGAAAAAAAAATTATTTATTTGTCACGACTAATAAATTGGTCGCCAAAGCAGGAAAACAATACACCTGTAATTCCTAAGAATTCATTTAATCCATAATAAACCTATAATTTTAATGCATCATTCAAATTAACTGAATCATTAACATTCGACACAATACATAATTCATTAACATTCGACACAATACAACTATTCTAAGTTTTCATTCACAAGTCACATCCATCTAGCATAACAAATTGAAACAATACATAATTCAGATTTACAGCATCAGGAAAATTGCTTAATCCACTAAGTTGCCTTGATAGCCAATCAAAAAGATCCTAAGAAATATGTTGGGGAGGGTGCTCGTCTGGTTCGTGAACTTTTGATCCACTTTTCCCAACTTTTGATCCACTTTTCAATGATGGCCCCATCGATATTGTTTTAGCCACTTCAAATGTTTCTGGGAACAAAAGGCCAACAGAGTGGTTCAATGTCCTTATATCAGGTGAATATCCAGGTAATAGTCTTGCAAGCAAAGGTGAAACAGCAGTCCTTGCTGTAACAGTGTCAGAACTCAGAATACGAGAAGCCGAATTCACCTGTGCACAAAGTTTAATAAGTTCAAATGGAGAGCTTACAACTGATTCCACGGCACCAGCTGCAATTCCTGCCATAAAGGCCTCAGACATGCACATAATTGTCTTCTCAACCATCTGCAAGGACAATATGCAAATTATCACTTAAGGGGTTGAAAACGAAAGGTTGAATGTTTAGCAAGAGGACAATCAACTATCCTTATTAATTGGATGTTCAGCAAGTGTATAATCCACTATCCCTATAAACAGCAGTCCTTGCTGATTTTTCCTATATATAAATACAAAACCAAGCAATTAAATAAAGTGATAAAAAAAATGGAGAGCCATCTGTCAAGAGAGTGTAAAGCAAAGTTCCCAGCATCAAAAAACCCAGAGCAGTGAAGATCATTCTTGTAGTTATAACAGAAAACCTCCTCGTGTTCCATTCTATCCCTAAAATAACAAAATTACTTAATGCAGGAGAAAATCACATTATATGAGAATGAGTGCCAAAAAAGAAAGAGGAAACATGTAAATATCAGGATGTTGCCCAGCGATAAAACAGAAAGGGGGATGTTCACACAATAATATGCAGTCATCTTATTCATTTTTAAAATCCTTGCATATATTCCTCTCATAAGTTCATAACCAAACAAGGGACTTTTGAGGCAATATGACCGAAAAAGGTAACTAAGAAACGAGTTACCTTGATATGCTTGAAAGATTACCAAATGCAGCAAACAACATTGTCTCTAGCGTTGATGATATATTTCCAACTTCCATGATTACATCTAACAATATGTTTATACAACACTGTTCAAACTGATGCAAATACACATATAGAAATAGATTCAGAACATAAAATTTTCTCACTTTCTTAACTCAATGTGGTAGAGAATTGTTTGTGGATTATTTATGAAATTTGGGCAGCAAATTAACCCAAAATGTGATTCGACTTCAAAAATATAACAATCCACATTTCTCTATTCTCATTCACTGATAGCAAGATAATTCCTACATTCAACCAGTCAGGACCAATGTTACTAGAAAGATGATTGTTTTGGTATGTGGAATTCTAATAACCATGGCTAAACCTCAACAAGCAGGTCAATATACCCAATGAGGATATTACATCATGTTTCTCCTACTCAATGCAAATAACTAAATACGGTCTATTGAAAGATAACGGAGAAAAGCTTCACTCTCAAATACTATGAAAGACAATAGAAGAGAAATCAATAATTGAATCCCAAACCCTGCTGCAAAGCAGGAGTCTTGTGCTGAGTACGACCTTTATTTAATTGACAATAAGCTATGATCTAAATATGAATCAACCACTAATTTTCGTTTTTTCATTATTAATCAAAGTTTTTGGTACTTACTTGTTAGGGCGTCGCATTAAAACGTAATATATTGGATCTTCTGAAGATTCTCCATTTGACAATTTCAGCAATTGCAATACAATGTAACAACATGTTGTAATGCAGTAAAAAAACAAGCAACTTCACATCAAATCTGTAACAAAGATCTAGATTTCACTATACATGGTGGCAACTCATTAACATATCTAAATAAAAATTATAAAACTACAGTGTAATCAATTCCTCAAAACATATATTCAGCTGACAGTCAAATAGTTTTTGAATCTGCAAGAAAAACTAGAAGAAAAAATGCACGTAGGAACTTTAACTGTAAAGTATTTGGATAAAATAACAAAGATTTATTAATGCATGTTTAATAGTGAAAATGAGACAAAACTGGTGTAGTTTGTCAACTTAAGTAAATTTTGTTCCAGTGTCTTTTATCCAGTTTAGTTCTCTTGGCACAAACAACACAATTGGGGAAGAATCAGATAGATAAATATTATAAAAGCAAATACCTTTTTCTTCTCTTCTTTGTCAAAAGGCTGTAAAGCCTTGAACACTCGGCAAAAAGAACCATCCTATATATAAATGCAAAACCAAGCAATTAAATAAAGTGATAAAAAAAATGATGAGTTATTTGCCCTGAAATTATTTTTCTGAAAATTTCAAATTTTTTAACTTGGGCACATTACAAAGCTTGGGCACATTACAAGCATAATCCTCCGCTGCCAATTTTTTAACTTTACTTCACATGTATGCACCAGAAGGTATACCTGACCATAGTTCAGGAGATCGTTCTTCAAATTATTCCACCACTTCACAAATTCACATTAAATCAAGAGACCACCAGAGGGTAAAGTAACCAAACGTTACATTCAGGGGTATTTTGTTAAAGATGGCACAAATTCAGGTGGTTGCATTAGCACTACTACACAAGTTCAATTGTGATAACACTCGAAGGCAAGCAGCTCCATGAATCATTCAATATGCAAAATGGAGATGTGTTCACCTGGTACATAATTCGGCTCCTTAGATTGTAACGTATAAGTTTGATATGCAACTACTTTTTTTAAGTAAGAATGTATGTATTATTATAATAAAAAAGGAGCACCGAGGAGGTGCCCATGTACAAAAAGTGAACCAACACATCAAACTACGGTAGAAGCTTTACAAAGTCCAAAAATTGGTCCAAGAATGTATCATCCCCACCTGAAAACCAACTAATTCAAGATGGCAAAAATTCTACTTTTCAAAACTTACATATGAAACTATAAATAGACTACTCAAGATTTTAACTTAAAAAAATAATATATTCAAGATTTAACCCTAAAATAGTGTTATCTAAAATTATGAATCCACCTAAATCAGGAGCAAAACAAATATAATTTCAAGCATAAGTTACACTTTTACTCCTTTAATTCTTTTTATCAGCATTTTCACTCCTTAATTCACTTATAAATGTTTAAGAATAATGGCATACAGCCAAAAGGAAGAAAAGCATAGGTAATGGAAGAAATTGCAAAACTACCACCCATTGTATCATATGAGATGCAAAGGGAAGATATTTCTTAAAGGACGATGGACATTGGTCACTAAGAAAGGAGAACATGGAACTCACCATGTCACGCATACTGAAAATGGAGATTGTTCACTGAATCACCTCTACCAAGTTCTTCATTCATCCCATAAGAAATAAAAATCTTAGGGCCCACATCATTCTGCAGGGAATAATGAGGCAATTTGGCAGCAACATTTAATAGACCCCACTTGGAATGGATGTACTCAAGCAATGGTAGTTTACTAATGAAATTGGGTCTCTGATACAACAAAAAATCTTCAAGAGCAGTTGGGGAAGGCCAGTCCTTCAACTTTAACATTTGTGGCCAACCATTTTCATGGATTCGACCCTTTGAGTATCCCATGATAAACTGACCAAGCTCAATATTTACCTACTAACACATCAAGCACAACAGGCAGACATCAGAGCATTTGGCATAGCATAATAGGAAATTATCAACCCAACCCAATAATATGAAGAGAAAAAATAAAAAATAAAAAAATAAAACACAATAAATGAGATCCAGATACAATAGATGAAACAATATACAAAATATAAACAATCAGGGGTCAGTTTTATCCATTCCATAATTGGGAGTTTGATGAAGGCTACCTCAAACCAGTCTAAGAAATCTGTAGCCTTCACATTTCTGCTATCATCCTTCATTTTCTCTTCTGTTGTCTCTCGAATTCTTTTCCATATAACCATTGGATCCCAGCTTGACATTAACAAGCCATCACAAACCTCCTTGACAATAACAGGTTCACCCCGGATCCAACGCTTTCTAAAATCTGCAATCCCATCAACTTTTATATCTTCAGAAGTTGGACAGTACAAGAAATTGTCATTGCAGTTCTCTCTATTTGCATATTCGAAGAGCCTAGAGTTAAACCCAATTTCTCGTGAACTACCAGTAACATAAACCTTACAGCCAATAACCATTTCTTCGTAATTTTTTACCAGTTTTGCAACCCAATTCATTTTAAAATTTCGTTTTAAGGTGAATGACAGGCAACCACAACTGCCATACTCCTTTGGTGGGCACGGAATACTGCCATTGATGTTGGCTTTCCAATTAAAGAACTTGTCTAATAACTTCAACCAAAGTTTTGATTGTTTAACTTGCTCTATTACAGTTATTTTATACTCTATTCTCCCATTAAGCTGATTTTCCAACTCTCCTTTAACACCATGGATAGATGCTTCCCTAAGATCTTGGCAGCAGCTACTTACAAAATAATGACAGCCAAAGAATCCAACAACACCTTTCTAAACTGTCAAACAACCTACTTCTAAAATTTATTAAATTTCCCAAAACATAAAAAGTATGAAGACCTGTAGTCTGTAAATCCTATTAAATTCTACCAAAAAATTATCCACAAACCTAAAAATGACCAAACAATGTCACTAATGGAACAGTATAAAATCTATCTAGATATCTCTATAAATTGAATGCACAAACTGTAAAATTCAATCAAGTTCTATATCCTAAAAACCATTATCATATATATGATAAACTCAAACACAAAACCCACAAGTTCTCTCCTTTAAAGTCGTGAGTGAATTTGGGGAATGAGAGATCGATTTCAAATTTCCCTTGCATCCCTCCGATTCAAAGCAATGATAAAAACTCATAAGTGCACACTCAGATTATCTCAAATCGTGACAAATCAAACATGATATAGAAAGAAATAAAGATGCCATTGATTGAAGATCCGAGAGAGACTCCGAATGATTATTTCTCAACAACCAAACATGTGAAAAATCAAGAACGAAATAAAGAGCAAGATATTGATTACCAGATCAAGACGCCATTGATTGAAGATCCAAGAGAGACTCCGAATGATTGATTCAATGTGCCTAGGGTTCGAATCGAACGCAAAGACGAGAGAGAGAGAAAGTGGTTCGGTGTTGTTTGTTGGCTTGTGTCGCACCTATTTCAAAGAGAGATGAGAGAGGAGAAAATGAAAATGTGTGAGCTAACAGATTGCTAAAGATAAAAAATTTCAATTCCCGCCCCACGTTTCAAATTTCCCCCCGAACTTTTGGCGACCAAACTCTCAAATTAGTCGCAAAAACAGGTTCTTTCGCTGACAAATTTTTTTAGTCGCCAAATCTCAATCAACGGCGACTAAAATATTAGTCGGCAAAAGTACTAATTTGGCGACTAATTTTTTTTGATCGCTGAAAATAAGTTTTTCGCGACCAAATTTTTGGTCGCCAAAAAATTTGTGACCTTCCGCGACCAAATTTGTTGTTGGTCGGCAAAAGTATACCCCTTTCTACAACCAACATATTTTTTGGTCGCCAAAATATAACCTTCTGCGACCAATAATATTTGGTCGCCAAAAATAATGATCATTCGTGACTAATTAATATTTGGTCGCCAAATGTCATTTTTTTGCGACCAAAATTTTTTTGGTCGGCAAATGTGTGAATTCTTGTAGTGCTATTGCATTGGTTTAATTATATCTCTCTCACCTTTATTGACATTTAATAATATATATTGGTGATATTTTAAATGATATTTAAAATTCAGTAACCATACCATATTCAAAGTAAAAAATTAGAATACTTTGTTAAATGGGTGAGATTGGAGTAGGGTAGTTTTTTTTTTTTTCATAATTTGAAGAAAAATTAAAAAATATGATTAATCAAATACATCAGTTTTATTTACTTTTTTCAACAAAAATATTAGAGTATGTTGTAGGCCACATTATTTTGTATAAATTATAATTAAATTAAATGCTATACAAATTAAAAGAAAAAAAATTAAAATTATAAGTCTAACTATGGCCACATTATTTTTATGGCTATTTATTTTGGGAGGACTCACATATGATGTGAGCTCACCACACCCATTGTGAATGCGCTAGAAATATAGTAATAGAAAATAGTGTGTACCTAATTTTTCTTTAAAATTATGTACAAAATATTGGGTTAAGAATTTAACACTTAAAACACAGTATCAGACTCATCTATGTGATCCCGATTCAGGCCCATGATCAATCGGCCCCACTTGGCCCTACTTGGATGGTAGATCACCCAACTCACTTTTAAATGAATTGTTGGCCCACCATCTAAAACAATATTGGACCATTGACAGTTAGCCCACCTGAGGACATACAACTATAAAACCTCCAATGAACAAGCGAAACAAACTAAACAATTAACTAGTTTGATTTAAAATTTTAATGAGTTAATTTTTTTAAGTTTAATTTGTAAAATTTTTAGGTTAATTTCAAATAATTTTTTGTTTAGCCAAAAAATTTAATATTTTTATATAAATTTAGACTTATTAAATCAAGTAAAATAAGTAATTAATTATTTAAATTTAAGTAATTAATTATTTAAATTTAATTTATTTACTTACTATTGCAAATAAGTGAAATAGAAATCAATTCGAGTTTGTTTATCCGTAATGGGTGATTATTTAGTATTTTCGGAGTATGGATATGTGGTGTTTTATAAAATTTTGATTGGTGAAAAGATACAACAATTTATATTGATAATAGAAGAATAACATGAGATTAAATTATTGATGATTAACTTAGAGTAGGGACACACAAGAATATTGAATAATTTTCCCGTAATGCCTACATGCGAGTCATTCGGTTACACACTCACATAGTCTCATCTCATTGGTCTGTGTTTAATAATCTTTGCGCGCGCGCGAGTCACTCGATGGGTAGATTGTTAAGATCAGTATTGTGAGAGAGTAAGGATCCTCTAAAGTGATTTTTTTTTAAAATTTCTTAGAGTGCTACATTGTGTGGTTAAAATTTATTGACAAGTTACATTAATTTTTCTGATGTAACTTGTCAATAAATCTCAACCACACAATATAACTCTAGAAAACTTTAGAAAAATTTTAACCACACAATATAACTCTAGGAAACTTTAGACAAATTTTACTCAACAGTATCCTTGGTGATTGTGAGAAAGGTTATCGGAAAGTAATTGGTCCTCAAGCACGATATTCCAACTAGCCACACACCCACTCTCTCTCTCTCTCTCTCTTCTCTGCTTCGTCAAAGCGATTCAAGCTCCGATCAGAGACAGGTCGTACGTTGTGTTTTGTTGTTAATTTTTCTATAATTAGACTATTCAAATCGTCTTTTTGAGTTAGATGATGTAACTTGCCAATAAATCTCAACCACACAATATAATTCTAGAAAACTTTAGAAAAATTTTAACCACACAATATAACTCTAAGAAACTTTATACAAATTTTACTCAACAGTATCCTTGGTAATTGTGAGAAAGGTTATCGGAAAGTAATTGGTCCTCAAGCACGATATTCCAACTAGCCACACACCCACTCTCTCTCTCTCTCTCTCTTCTCTGCTTCGTCAAAGCGATTCAAGCTCCGATCAGAGACAGGTCGTACGTTGTGTTTTGTTGTTAATTTTTCTATAATTAGACTATTCAAATCGTCTTTTTGAGTTAGATTTTCTGGGGGAAATGTTTGTTTTGATTGAAATTCATTGAATTGATAGGTTGCAAACTGGTTTATGTTTATCTTTCAATCGTTTGGTTCATGAATTGCTTCTTGAAAACTGCATGGATCAGTTTGTAGATTTCTTTCGTTGTACACATATTTATCTCAGATTTTACCTAGTTTTTTATATGACCAAGGCTCGAAATATAGGTTACCACGGAAAAATGTTTGAGGAATTGGGATTCTCTCTTTGTAATATATACCGAATTTCACATAATTGCACTAACTAAACACTAACCGAATTTCATAGTTATGCCATGTTCTAGTTGAAGTACCAAATTCTGTATATCATAGTGAAACCGTAACAACCGTGGATGTAATTCTATTATGAGGTGAACCATGTATATCTTTGTGTTTTTGTTGATTCTTGTTTGTGTTTCATGTCTCATCGATCCTGATCCTGATCCTGATCCTGATTAGGTGTGTCAATTCCAAACAATGACAACAAACACAATTGTAGCCCCATTGAGTCTTTCTTATGAAATACAAGGGTAACTTCTTGTAAAATGCATCCTCAATTGTAGTTGAAATTTTTTTTACTTATTCAATGAGAAAAAGTAAGAACCAAAAACAGTGGCACCACAAAATGTGGCTTAATGTCTTTTAAAAATGAAAAAAATATATATAATAATTAAAAACAACATTTATATAGAAGCCATTTACGCACTCATATACATACATATATGTACACACAGAGAGAGAGAGAGAGAGAGAGAGAGAGAGATTTATTTGGTGTGCGAGTTTTCTACTATTGCATCATGAAAACATTGTACTGAAGGAAAATTTAGAGGGACTGAACTTCTAATCTAAAGCTAAACGAGAAAAAAATTACTATGTTAATGGTGGAAGATACATGATGCATTTAAGGTTTGTGTGTTATGTTAGGTTATTTTGATTGTTTCAATTTGTCATTGAAATGGAATTTGATAGATTAAGACCACTTGGGACATTGATCTTAGAATCATGGGCTTGCACAAAGATGATGATGTTTGCTATCTCTTTCTGACATATGTGTTACCTCTTCTGTTTCCTCCAAAACTGGTCTTATTCGAGCAAGAAATTAAATTTTATAGTCTTATTCATAGGACGAAGTATCTAATGGTCAAGTATGATTCTTAAATGATTTTAATACATTTGTGTGTATGATTTTTTGACATTTTCTATTTTTCATCAAACAGGTTCAACAGTTGGGCAACTTTTTCTTGGTTGAACTTTGAAACAATGTACCCCGGTGGCTATACTGCAGAAGTAACGTGTCTATCTCCTAGAGCAACGGAGAAGGATGTTTATGATTTTTTTGCTCACTGTGGTGTAGTTGAACATGTGGAAATCATCAGGTAGTTTTCAACAAATTAGTTTTTGGTTACTGGATTTGAATCTGCTATGTAGTTCTTGTCATAATTTGATCTGTTTTCCATTTTATTCTTCAAACTCTTTGGAAAATGGTTTGTTGTGAAAAGTCAAAATTTGGATCTTTGCTTTATGTACTTTTGGCTGTCTGGTTTGAAAGCAGATGTTGCACAAATTCCAGTTGCTTAATAAAAGGTGGGTTTAGGCACAGATTCATTTCAAAATTTGTGCCTTTTCAGGCAAAGTTCATGCTTTAATACAAGGCCATTTGAGCATTGTGAGGCATTGCACAATTTTTGATGTGAGATCTGTCATAGGATATTACTGAAGGGTATGAAGTTAATGTTCTGCTTTCATTTGTGTTTATAGATGGGAAAAGCTATAGTTGATGCGTTAAAGATGTTGAATTTCTCCACAAAATGATATATAGAATGTTGAAAAATTAAATTGCCACCTGACAACTAAGTGCACTCTTAACCGCAAAATGTGTCTTGTTTTGATCTGTTGTATAGTTTAATTAATTGAGAAGATTTTAAGAAAGCATATATCAGCTGGTGTTTGTCATTAATTGTAAATTATAATTTCTTTTCTTTTATCTCCTTGGTCATAAAATTAAGCATTTCATATTTACAACTGAAAAAAAAGAGGTATTTTTATTAGAGAACAGGATGCCCTACTGGCTTTCCTTGTTTATCTATATGCTCAACTATTTGGTTGTGTCAAGTTTCTGATTGGAGAATTTCTATTTTGCTAAAATCAGATCTGGCGAGTATTCTTGCACTGCCTATGTGACATTTAAAGATGCCTATGCTCTGGAAACTGCTGTCTTGCTCAGTGTAAGTTTCTTACACTCCCCTCCCCTGGATATGGGAAAGTAAGGGTAACTTTAGAAGGAATTGATTTTCAAGACGTTTTTCAGCCTCAGCAGTTTCAATATTACAAGTCATTGATCTGCTCTTTGTTTTGTCCTTTTGTTCCTTAGATAAAAAGGTGATTGTAGAACTTATGGTATTAGCTCATTGGATCTGCTAAATATATAGCATTAATGAAGAATCTTTTTCATGTTGTGTTTGGAAGCTCTAGTTGTTATGAAGTGATGTTCCTATAATCTAGATATCTAGTGTGATATTTGAATTTTGATTTGATGATTCGTCCTGCTCAGGGAGCTAAAATTGCAGATCAACATGTATGCATATCATGCTGGGGGACATATATTGATGAATCAGATCCTTGGAATAACCCGTCATGGAAGCTTGGAGATGAAAATAGCTCAATGGTATGAACCTTCTCTTTCCCCTATTGGTACGTAAAGTCATGAATTGTCTAGTCTTGCTTAAAAGAGTTCCATTAAAGAGGTAAAGCAAGTATCTTTGGCCATCTTTTACAACATAGTGAATAAACATTCAATATTTGGGAATCACTAGATATTATGAAATTTGGAAATTAATCCGCAAATAGTAGCTTGTAGAAGTAGCTAACATAATTCTTATATCACTAAGTAAAAAGAGGTTATTTTTTCATTATTGAGCTATGTTACATAAGTTCAAAAAAAAAAAGAAAAAAAGCCATGTTACATGGAGCATACGAGTATTGCGTGCACATGCATGTCTAAGTATCAAATCTTCCTAAACCTAAATCTTAGGAGATTAGAATATGCATCCAAAAGTTGGGTGTGGGTACTGGGACACATCTTAAACACTTATATATATATATATGTATTACATATTGTGTAATATTCTTAGATAAAATGTAAATTATTTAGAAATGTACTTTGAATTAAATAGGATTTAGAGAGAACATGAAATTTCTAACTCCCATTCGTGTAACAAGCTAGAAAATTTTCTTTACTTGCAAATGTGAGTGTCTTCTCTTCAAGTGTCTAAAATGGGTACGGGTGTCGGACACCTATATCATACACTTACTCATCATATTTGGTGGACACAGATATACTGGAGGAAGTAGAAGAGTCCATGCAACATAGTTATTGAGTCAGTTCTCGCATAAAAATCAGTCAAGTTCATAAACTCCTTTTTCCTTTTTTTTTTTTTTTTTCTTTTGTGGGTTGCCTTGTTACATTTCTGTGCCACTTTACCTGGGTAGGGCACTCAAATCAATCAGTTTGCTTCCACTCCTGCGGAAGCCATAACTGTGGCACAAGAAGTAGTCAAGACCATGGTAGCAAAGGGATATGTATTGGGAAAAGATGCATTAACCAAAGCCAAAGCTTTGGATGAGTCCTATCAAGTCTCATCTACTGCAGCCTCCAAAGTTGTGGAGCTTAGCAACAGAATCGGGCTCACTGAAAAGATTTATTCAGGCATGGAGGCTGTTAAATCCATGGATGGAAAATACCACGTTTCAGAGACCACCATGACAGCTGCGTCATATACAGGGAGAACAGCAGTAGCAGCTGCAAATGCTGTAGTCAACAGCAGTTACTTTGCCAAGGGAGCTCTTTGGGTTTCAGATGTTCTCACTCGTGCAGCCAGTGTTGCAGCTGATTTGGGTAGTCACGGTGTTAAAAAGTGAACTTTTTTGGTCAAGAAAACCCGTTTTCCGGTAATGATTCTTGACTTCTTTAAATTGTTCATGTTAGATAGATTTACATATAAATCAGGAGAGTTTTGTTGTACATCAACAAAGTATTTTGTTTGATAATGAGTTACTAATTGTGCTTAATGTGATATGATCATTTGGGTTCATTTGCAGCACTACAAGAAGCAATCCTTTTGCTACATTCATAACTTTAGAATTGTTATATCACAAGGGTGGTGGCCTGGTGGGTAGTAGGCGGCATATTTGTCCTGTTGTTATTGTGACCTCTGGTTCCTTATGAAAATGCCCTTTATGGGGTTGGGTTATGTTATTGGGTTATGTTATGATTTGTTGTGAGGTGTCTCGTATTTATTGTGCACTAAAAGATTATCGTAAGAGAGCTTTTATTGAGGCCGAGGCCAGGAGATTAGGTGATATAGATTGTAATTTTTTGGTAAGGTTTTAGAGTGTGTTCTAGGAAAGAGGGCCGAGGCCAGGAGATTAGGTGATATAGATTGTAATTTTTTGGTAGGGTTTTAGAGTGTGTTCTAGGAAAGAGAGCTGCTTCAAAAGGTTTAGATTTTTTTTGTAAGCCTTATTGAGCATAGTGAATTTGTTCTCCCTCTTTGCTGTAGAAGTAGGCAAAACCCACCGAACCATGTATATTTATGTTATTGTTTTTATGTGTGCAATTGTTCTATTATTTATTACTCTATTGTACGGTTGGAACCATGGTTAAAATCGAGATCCTACGTGGGATCAATGAGAGGATCTCTTAGATCAAATGGAGAATCTTAAGTTTCTGCTTTTTATAATAAAAAAAAAGAAAAAAAAGAAGGTAAAATTACCAATAAGAATAATGTATATTAAAAGTAAGGTGAAAAATCACCTGCCCAAAGATCGTAACTATGATCTTACCTACTTACGTGATCATACTTATATGATCCTGCTATAATATCAATTTTACAATGATTTAGATTGTTTTGATAATTTAAGATTGTAGGACTCTGATCACAATTTGGATAACCTTAATTGAAACCATGATTCTGCACAACATAACTCAAACTCGATTTGAGTGAGCAATTATGGATCCCCATGTCTGCAGCCTCCCATACAGCTTGTCAATGGGTAGGGGGCCACTAGGGTCTGCCATGCTTTGCTAACCCCCAAAGTGTATAAAGTGGTTTATGGGCTGGTGATGTACAATCCTATAGTTGGCAAAGAGGGGCCTATTTTGGTTCAAGAGGAAGAGTTTAGTGTGAAATGAGGGCTTGTGCCTCTTGACCTGAATTTTTCAGGACAAGACAACGGGACATAATGGTCTGCATATGACAGACGGGTGATAGTTCAGTAGGTAAATTAATGCCCTAGTTCACTCCGAAAAGAACAACCATTGTTAATCACAAAAATATAAGTTTCAATATCAAATTGTATGTAATACAGTCGAACCATGAAGGGATTGAGCACCTGTCAACTTGAAGTCTAGATGCAGGGTGGTACTCTTTCTTCCACTATGTTGTAAATGGTCCAAGCATATGTTTGGAGGGTCAGGTTGTGCATACTCTTCCATGACTGACAGGTCTCTCTCATGGGCTGAGGGAGAGGAACCAGCTACGGTCTTGGCCTCCAAAATTCTTAAAAACCCTTACATTTTAGGAGAGTTTTATTGAAATCTTAATGGTTTTGCTTGGCTCTCTCAACACCAGAATTCTAGTTTCATCTCTGGTTTCCCTGTCTAACATGTATGACCATATATATTTTCTGTGATCGATTCTTTGCATTACTAGAATTACTAACTATATATCTCACTATGTATCTATCTACCAATTGACTTGAAACGTGCATTTTTACTAGTAGAGCAAGTTGATTTCAAATTAAAAAGAAGCGGTGATAGTTTTTTGTCATTTGCGATTTAATATTAGGGCAAACTTCACTATACTCTTTTGTGATTTGGGCCGGGTCCAGATTACTTCCTTGATATTTGAAAATCACCACATAACTCTCATGTGGTTTATAAATTAAAGCGCACACTAACTTTTGTTAACAGAATGTGTAAATTTATCCTTATGCCCCTATCTTCTTCCTCTTATCTCTTTTAAATTAAACGTGAAAATATAAATACATCCATACATACATATATACACACACACTTATTTTCTTTCTTCTTCCTTCTTCCTTTCATGCTACCAACTCTAACATATTTCGGGTTGGTTTGGGAAGTGGGTTGGCTTTTTGGCTTTTTGGCTTTTTTGGCTATTTTAGCCTGGGCTAAAAAGCTTGGTTTGGGAAGGGATTTTTGGCTTTTTGGGTTTTTTGACTTTTTTTGTGAGAGAAGAGTGTAATGATTATTTGCGATTTAATATTAGGGCAAACTTCACTATACTCCTTTGTGATTTGGGCCGGGTGCAGATTACTTCCTTGATATTTGAAAATCACCACATAACTCTCATGTGGTTTATAAATTAAAGCGCACACTAACTTCTGTTAACAGAATGTGTAAATTTACCCTTATGCCCCTATCTTCTTCCTCTTATCTCTTTTAAATTAAACGTGAAAATATACATACATACATATATACACACACACTTATTTTCTTTCTTCTTCCTTCTTCCTTTCATGCTACCAACTCTAACATATTTCATTCCAACTTGTATAAGAAATCCAAGAAGCACACACATCTCCACACCAAAAAACCAATCACTTATTCTCACCATCAACAGTAAATGCATATATATTATTCAATTTATATAATAAAGTAAGATGGTTTTTAAATTTGTCCTACACACATTTTTCCTACTAGGATATTTGGACGGCTCAAATTTATTCAAATTATAAAACAACGGTTGAGATATATTTTTAAAAAAATATCCTACATGTACATTTTCTATTTTCTTACTTTTCTCTCTTAATTTTTCCTTTTCTCACCCATCATTTTGTGATCACATGATCCCCTGTTCCTCTCTCTTTTCTTTTTCTTTTTTTATTTTCTCTCATTTTTATTTTTCTCTTTATTTGTTTTTTTTTCTGCTTTTTGTTCACTTATTTTTATTCATATTATATGAAAAAGTCTGTGATCTCAGAATTAAGAGCCAAATTTTACTGTGCGTAATAAAGATTATATTAATGAATTTTATAGTCTACAAATTAAATGAATTTGAACAATTAATTATTATTTTTAAATATATTGAATATCTGATGACTTTATAAATTTAGACCTCATATGAATCTTCAACATATTTTAATAAAGCAGGACGGTTTTTGAATCTTCAACATATGTTTGTCCTATTAGAACATTTGGATGACTTAGATCTGTTCAAATTATAAAACAATGGTTAAGATATATTTTTCAAAAAATGTCTTACATATACATTTTTTACTTCCCTGCTTCTCTCTCTCTTACTTTTTCTTTTTCTGATCCATCTTTCCAGGATCCCATGATCCCGTCTTCCTTCCTCTTTTACTTTTATTTTTTTATTTTCTCCTGTTTTTATTTTTCTCTCTATTTTTTTAATCTTTTTATTCAATATATTTTACACATATTTCCATACAATATATGTATGTTCGTAATACACTAGGACATCACGGGCATACATACAATTTTTATATAATTATATAAGCAAAAGTAGTATTGTATGTATGCTCGTGAAAATTGTATGCATACTAGGCACATCTATCTATCTAACTATATATTATATAAGTAAAAGCGAGTTTTCGTGAGGAGTTTTGTAAGAACTCCAAAATTTTATAATAAATTTGTGATTTTATCAAATTAAAAAATAAATTTAAATAATGTTGGGATTACAATGATATTCTAATCTTAATATTATTTATACCGTGCCTTCAAATACAGGCATACGCTAGTCATTCAATATTTTACAAATCAATTTAAAATCTAAATACTAAGGCATTGTTTGTCATAACCTAAAAAAGTCAAAAAGTCACTTTCCTATTTAAGTCACATCATTTTATTTAAGTCACATCACCTCTCTACCACATCACTTCAAATCTAATCCATACCTAATTTATATATCATAAAAAATTAAAAAATACATTTATTTATATCATCCCAAACCAATCCTAAACTCCTAAAATCATTCATAGTAGCTATCCATTATATTGGCACAAATCATTCACAGTAACTATTTCTCAAAAAAAAAAAAAAAAAGTTTATGAATATATACTTTTTCATCCTAAAAGACTTTATCTCATCCATTACCACTCAACTACCCAAATTTCATTCATATATGCCTATATAATGTAAATATATACACGGAACATAAGGTCCCTTCAAAAGACAGATCCGTTAGTCAGTGGATATTAATTTTTAGCTTCAAAAAATTTTAATTGATGCAAACTTAACATTTTCTTCCAAGTTTTATTATTTTTCTTATTTGAAGTGGCCATAGAGTTGTAGAGAAGGACGGTGGTATGGCCATGTAAATGGAAGGAAAATATAAAGAGAGGGAAGATTGGTGAGGGGAGAGGAAGTTGGTGTGGTATAGTAGATTGGAGTTAAGAAATATAAAGAGAAATAGTAGATAGAGAAGGATGGCATACCTTTGCAAATTTAAAGATGTTCAAGGGTATTTTGGTTTAAAAATGTAGCTTACTCTTTTTATGGGCGTTTGAACTACATAGTCAATTATCAGTTAATTTGGATGGAAAAGTGAACGGTGCGTTTTAGTTCACAAACCACATGGAGATTATATGATGATTTCTGAATGTCAAGAATAATCCGCGCCCAACCCAAGCCACAGAGTTAAACTGAAGTTTGTCCATAATATTATTACTATTATTTTAGTTTTAAAAAATCTTAAAAGCTTTTTATTGTCTGCCAACCACATATGTAAAATAGTTACTGAGCCGCTCACAACTAACAACCACTGCTTAGCAAACCTTTGTTAAAAAGTTCCACAATCCAACTTCAACTTCAAATTTGCAACGGCCAGAGTTCTACGCGAACAACACTATGCAATTAATTCATTAATTAATTATTTATGTTTCTGGTTGTTATATTATATATATCATCTATTCATTTATGCGGCGACAATGCTAGGTAGCTCAAATTTTTGTGGCTCAAATGGCTCAAATCTGTCAAAACGACGTCGTTTTGACAGATTTTGAGTGTAAAACGACGTCGTTTTAACAGATTTGAGCCATTTGAGCCACAAAAATTTGAACTACCAAACATTTTCCTTTATCCGGCTATGTGTTGTTCCCTGACCCACTGTTGAATCTTTTTTTCCACCTGTCTCGAAAACTCTCTGATATTGTCCATCTGCACAATGTGATACTGATACATACATATATATATATATATATATATATATATTGATTTAAAATAATTATTTAGATACATTGTTCAGTTGAGGGTAGGGTTGAGACACAGAGACGTGGGAATTTTCAGATCACAGAGGTGGTTTTGAGTGTTCACAGCAAATTCACTTCTTTTTTGCTTTTGCTTTTGTTTGTTTGATGACACTAAACGAACCCAGTTGTGGCATGAATCTCTTGCACATTAATGCTATGTTTGGTTGAGAGATTTGAGAAGGAATTTGGAAAAAGAAAGAGAAAAAGTGTGTGAAATTAGGTGTAATGTAGGTATATTTTATTCACATTTAATCTACTTTTTTTCTTTCTTTCTTTCTTTTTTTTTTTCCTTTCAAATTTCTTCTTAAATCCCTCAATTAAACACAGCATAATAGTACATTTTTCATTTGTTTCATTAGTTAGGAAAAAAAACTCTCGTTTTGTGATTTTCTGGGTTCAAATGCCCCATTAGGTAATAGAGTATTGTTTAAAAAATATTCGATGATTTCTTGATGAGCAGGTAAATATAGACAGGTGGCTCTACCTTATGTCCTTGACTTACAATTAAGGTTGCAAACGAACTGAACTGAGCCAAGCTTTCGTTTATTTATCAAGCTCATTTATTGAGCTCGAACTCGGCTCAATAAGAAATTAGACTTGAGCTTGGCTCGGCTCGTTAACATTAATAGTACTCAAGCTCGGCTCGATAATTTTTTTTTAATATTATTTAATATATAAATAATGTATTTGTACTATTATTTATATATATATATATATATATATATATATTTGAACCGAGCCGAGCTTTTAATGAGCCAAACCAAGCTTATTCATGAACAATTTGATTCATTTACAGCCTTATTTACAATACTAGTAACCTTTTTTTTGGGTGCTAATACTTGTACCATTTGAATGTCCCTCAATGACACCACTTTCCTCAGTTCACACCAACTTTTATCAATGTCAATTATGTACTAAATGCTTTAAGGTGAGGCAATTTAATTTTTTATATATTTTTTTTAATAATCAAATGAGTAATTGAACATGGGGTTGGAGATATTTTTAATGCCTTCAAATGAAGTGGTCGTTTGGTTAAAACTTTGAAGGATTGAGAGCTACTCCACACCTTTGCCCCATCTTTGTTTACTCTGAAAATTTCAGAGAAAACAATATTTGACCATATTACCATATCAATATATTATGGTGATCAAATTTGAATATTAAAATTTTGATATTATCTAATATCTCATTTATTTATTATAAGACTTCATAAAACTCAAATTTTTTTTTACCTAAATTTAATCTTTGTAATCTCTGTAGCATTATTGCTCTTTTATTTGGTCACAAAACCTGGGTTGACTGGAACCTTTCTCCACCTAATTTTCTTGGAGAGGACTTTATTGACCCTATTTTTTATTTATTTATTTATTTTCATTAACAAAAAGTTATTAATACTAATTAAATGGTATAGTGTTATTCTATTAAAAATGAATCGGCCTGGCACCGGCGCAAGCATAATTGAGCTGAACTGCTCTCCTTAAAAAAAGAAACTGCTTTTTCTCCGTCGAATAAACTATTGACTTTTTCATTCTTTCTAATTTGTTTTCTTCCTCTTCTTTTGTGTGCAAAAGTCGCCTCATAATTCAAGGCTCATTATCATGACCAATGAGTTTGTCGGGTCTACCCTTGCTTTTTGGGTTTAATTTTTTCTTATGTGAGATTCAATTTTTATAAAAACGAGTTTAAATTGTTAATGATTTGTTTGATGTAATATTTTTTTATATTTATAATTATTTTTTTATCAACTAACAAAAAAGTATAAATTTTAACCCAAAAGTATTCACCCCCCCCAAAAAAAAAAAAACTAACAAAAAAGTACAAATTTTAATTTTTTTAGAGAATTTTTGAAAAAAAAGAAAGAAAAAGAAAAGAATTTATGAAAAAGAATACTTTCTATTTTATTCACAAACCCCTTCTTTTCTTTTCTTATTTTAAATTTTATACAAATTTAAAATCTAAATACAAGTCTTAAATCTTAATAGTGACAATTCTCTTGCCGACCCAATTTGACTATGAGTTTGTTTTTTGTTATCATTTTTATGAGTTCATGACAATAAGAGCTTAACTGATTTACAAAGTTAGGAAACAACTATCATGCTACTTCCATGGGGTAATTGATGTTAAAGTTTCAACCATCAAGTATCAATTATGTCTGTTTAAAGATAATAGTTGACATTAAAGGCTCTTAACTTAGGGATTGTTTGGGATGTCTTAAATAAGTATATTTTTTGACTTTTTTGACTAAAAAGTTGAGAAAAAAAATATGGTTGTTTCGGTTAACTTTTTGACTTTTTATGAAAAAATGTGTAATAAAAAATTGTATAAATTAGTATGTAAGGGAAAATTAAGATTGAGAATTGTACAGCCATACTTTTTGACCTTTAGTGAATAATGATAACTTTTTAACTTTTTGAGTAACGTTTTGACTTTTTGGGCACATGCCAAACTTGGCCTAAAAATAAAAGAATATGAGAGAATTCAAACAGAGATTTTAAGTTTATATTACATTTCTCATATGGTGATTCAAATCGATGGTATAGTATGTAACATGATGATCTATTTAGTGTGAATTGTGATTGTAGACAAATACATATATGGTGGTGCTACATACACTAATTAATGTACAAACTAGTATACCAACTAGTGTTATATTATTGTTACTGACCTTACATATTATATAAATTACAAATACCCAAAACCTCTAAAGTTATATCATATCATCTGTTAATATACTAGTTAATACATTAATTAGTACATCTAGCATTATTCATACACATAATATAATTTTGCTCTCGATAATCTTCTCTTCTGACTCTCTCTTATCTTGTTCGTGACCTGAACTATGTGCTATGCGAGATGGACTAAAACTTGCTCTTGACCTGAATCTCTTAGGAATAGAAGTGGAAACAAATGCAACCATCATGAAAAATCTCATTCTTAGTAACTCCAACTATTGTCATCAACTTAATAATCTAATTTATGACTGCAGATACCTCTTGAATCAGCTCGAAACCTTGACTATTAGCCATACTTATCGCGAGGAAAACAAATGTGCGGACTTGCTTGCCAACGAATGATTTAATCATGAGGGTCTATTTGTTTTTTCTTCTATTCCTAACTGTATTTCCTTTTAAGTATTTGAAGATGATAGGGGTACCTTTTACCCTAGAAATGTAACCGCTTAATTCTTTATTTACCTAAGTTCGATCTTCATTACCAAAAAAAAAAAAAAAGAGAGACGACAGTAAGCAAACTAAAAACAGAATACAACCCTTGTTTATGAGGCACCAATATCAAATAGACAACTACTTCCTATAATTCATGTGTTGCAGAAACCACATTGGCAGAAATTAGCTTCAAAACCTAACTACAACACGCTAATCACCATTTTCACCATCAGTTAGTTAATAAATCTCCTTTTAATTTTGAATACATACAATCAATTATAAAAAATAATTCAATTTATACATATCAAGGTCCTCCATGAAAAAAATTATTTTACTCTGTGTCATGTCTATTCGTATCATCTTTTCATAAATCACCACTTGAAGAAAACAAAAGAAGTAGAAGCGAAAAAATAAAAAAATTGTTAATACCTTGTGAAATTAATCACAACAAACTGGGCAACGAGTGATCCCATTCTCATTGCAATCAGGACATCTATGAAATCCACAATCACTCTCATCACCAAATTCTTGATCATCGTCATCATAATCAACTTCATGGTAAATCTTGCAACTCCCTGAACATGTCTCACATGGCACAAACCTAATATCCCCACAAGCTTCACAAACACCACCACCACCACCCCCAACCCCAACCACCCATTCACAACCATCTAATACCTTCTCCAGCCTCCCTTCTTCATGCAGCCGCCGTATTTCCTCCGCCCCACCGATATACTTCTTCCCAGCTTCACAAACACCACCACCACCACCACCACCACCAACCACCCATTCACAACCATCTAATACCTTCTCCAGCCTCCCTTCTTCATGCAGCCGCCGTATTTCCTCCGCCCCACCGATATACTTCTTCCCTACAAATACCCTTGGCAATCCACCACCATAGAATCCATCTCCCAGTAGCTCTCTCAGCTCCTCTTTGAAGCCCGAATGCATCGAAACGTCTCTCTCGTCGACACGAACACCAATTCCCTTCAAAATGACTCGAACATGGCAACAATCTTCATATGTCTTCCTCACACCTCTTAGGCTTGTGAAGTATAAGACTACTCTGTCTTTGAAACCCTTGTAGTCCGGGAAATCAACATCAATTTTCTTCACATCTGTGCAATCCAATGGGTTGAGGTGAATTGGGTTCTCCGGAGGGAGATCTTCAAGTGCTTCCCGGAATTTGGAAATGACATCGGGATCAAACTCGGAGATTATAGATGTTGCATTCGAATTATCAGCGATCTGGAGCCACATTGGCTTTGATTCCTCAGTTTCTTGTAGTTTTGAATCGGGAATTGAATTCACTGGAAATGAAAAGCTACGGTGGTGATGATGAACAGGTCGAAGAGGGCTTGTATCTTCAAGACCCGCCATTAATTCCCAAATATTGATCGTCTCTGGCTCTCCAGGCGGCGTTGTGATCGGAGTTTTGGGGACAATTTTGGGTATCTTTCGGTTGATCATCTGAGACCATGTCTTCGCCTCAATCACTCCCATTGAGAACTCGGTTTTTCTCTTGTAATCTTCATCATCCTTCAATGGAGCTATAGCTTCTTCTTCTTCTTCTTCGCAGGTAAGGTGTTTGCGATTGAGCTTGAGAGAACCCAATGTTGTGGAAGTGAGAGCTACGACATGGTAACTGTCTCCTTCTTGCTGCGGCGGATGGTGGACGTTTATTGAGTAGCTTCGTTGTGGCACCGGCGGAGGTGGCTCGCAGTTCCGGCAGACCCGTGGCTTTGAAGTGGCACAACCCATCGAGAAACAAAGAAGACCAAATTAAAAACAACCCAATAAACAAGAGATGAATTTTGTATATATGTTTATAGGAATTGAGGAGGAATAAGAGATTAAAAGAACATTCCCAAGGGAATTGGGTAGAGATTCCAAGATTAAAATATATGTATATGAAATTGAGGGATTAAAAAAACGGAATTATGCCAGTTATGCCTGAATTGCATAGACTTAATTATGAAAACAACAATGGTATGGATGAATTAGAAAGAGAATTGGGTTGAAGAGAGGTTCTTGAACAAAATAGAATAACTCGTTTTCAACAGAAAACCCAGATGGATATAGAACGAAAGAAAAAAGAAAAAAGAAAAAAACACTCTTTTGAGTGAAGAAGAATGGTTCAAAAAAGATTAAATTAAAAGGAAAGAGAAGGGAATTGGAGATGATGGAATTTCCAAAGTCAAAGAATGAGGGGGGTGAAGAGAAGAAGACTAATTCCTTTGTTCTGAAGTGCCTGTAGAGGAGGGGAGTTGATTGAGTCCACCACCTCCACTATTCGGTCTGTGAATCTATGTATGTTAGATTTTACTCTTTAGAAATACACTTTACACAGTATACAGATGGGATCATCAAAGTCACAACCAACAACCGAAGTGAACAGGGGATGAGAGTGAGACTCAAAATTCAAAACAACACAACTGTTATAGGAATGTGTTTGATATATGTGATGTGTTGAAAGAGTGGAGAAGGATCGGCGAAACCGAGAATTATGAATGTTATTTGTTTTCTGCGGTGACCACCCCACTCCAACCCAATAACACAAAGACAAATAGAAGAAATGGGTGGTGATGCTCGTGTCCTTGGTGTGTGGTGTGCTCAATTTTGATTGCCTGTCTTTTTTTAAGATCAAGACCCCCGCCAGCCACCTAGGCGCGTCAGTGACGCAAATGAACTTCGACGCGCTTACGAAGGGGTCCGGGTTGTGGGACCCGTTCTTGGATCTTCTGTCTTTTTCTTTAAAAAAAAAAATTTAGAAAAATTTACCCATAAGTCTTAATTTTTGAAAAGTTGAACTATTTAGTCTTAAAAGTTTTCTTATACTCCATTTAGTCCCATTTGCACATCAATCTAATATTTGAAACATTAATCTGATGTTCGAAATCTAATGTTCGAAACATTAATATGATGTTTGAAACATTGTAATGGGACCTTTTAGTCTATAAGAAAATTTTTAGGACTAAACCATGTATAAGTTATTAATTTGGGATTTATTGGTGCATTCCCCAAAAATTTATTTAATAAATTATAAATATGTTATTACATTTGTTCAAAATATGAAGTGCATCTGGTTATAGAAATTATGGTGAATTAAATTGGCACTCTTGATGTTTATATTTATTAATATTTTTTTTTATATTTGAAAAATTACATTAATTCTTCTTGTTAATTTAATATTATGTATGATGATCATTACTGTGAAGGGGAGAATTGTTATAAAACTTTAAATATCAGGGAGCAATCTGTAATGAGACTTTAAACCTCAGGGAGGGGATGTAATTTTGAAAAGATGAGGGGAGAACTGTAATAAATATAAATATCAGGGAGTGTCAATGTAATTTACCCTAAAAATTATATCACGTCTCTTTTATTAATAAGTTATTAAATTAATTAATAATTTTTAATCATATCATAAAATTATGAGTTAATTATTTAAAAATATTATGGTAATTTAGGTGCTATTTAAAAAATTTGGAATCAATAAGTCATATTTAATAAAACTGAGAATATTATCAGTGTGTTTGGTTTGAATTTTTCGAATTAAGTTTTTTTTAAAATTGAGTTTTTTGTTTTTAGTGAATATTTTTAAAATTTTAAGTATTTTTTTTTTTTTTTGCTTTTTTAGATATATCTTACTTAGATGTATCTAAAAAGTAAAGTATTTGTGAAAAAATATTTTAAAAAATTAATAAATACACAAAAAATATGAAAAATATATTAATTTTTTGTATTTTTTTTATATTTTTGGTATTTAGCGAATTGTTTAAAGACTTTTTTCATAAAAATTATACTTTTTAAGTGTATTTATGTTAGGTGTGCCTAAAAATTAAAAAGTTGCTTAAAAAATTAAAAAAATCAATAAAAACAAAAAAATACAAAAAACAAGAAAGCAGAATTTTCTTAAAATCGTTTTTGGAAAACTCAAACCAAACAAAGTGAGCTTTTGTCCAATTTTTAAAATTAAGAACATTATCAATTTTGTATAGTAATGTTTCAGATAATTGTGTTTACTAACTGATTAAAAAAACTAGAGCATAAGAGATTAAACGTTTTTGCTTTTCTACTTATTGGTTTGATTCAACTATCCAATAAAATCAAGAACATTATCAGTTTTTTCATTAAATTTTTTTTTTCTTTTAATTTTGCATATCAATGTTCCATCATCATGGTACTTTATTATAGACACAAAATTTTCAGTTTTGCACAAAAAAATAATTCAGTTTTATTTATTTATTTAAATAATTAGTTTTTTTTTTCTTTTGCACATAATTTTTTTTTTCGATTTTCAAGTTGATATTTTAAAATTTTGAAAATCAAAATAAATGTCAAATCATTATATTCCTTTATGGATAATCATAAATGATGAATAATCAATATTTGAAAATGTTGGCTATATATTTTGTAAAAGTTAATCATAGCTTGACACGTGGTACATGAGAGGCAATTCGGGGAGTTAATACAAGTCTCTAGTCAACGACAGACACGTGACAAGTCATATTGGTTATAATGGATCTACGCAACGTTGGAATAGCTAGAAAGCGCAAGATGACATGGCACAATGATTACCGACGAATTCAAATTCAAATCCAAGAGGGAAGCCTAACTGTAAGAATGGCATAGTGGGACTGACTGTGAGAGAGCATGATCAGCAATCATGGGAGAACATTTCGACGACTGGAAACCCACTTCGATGGTTACCCTTGAAGAGTATAAATAGTATGGAAGGTGCCAAATTGAGGGACCCAGACTCAGATTCAGAAACCAGTTTATTTACTTCGTATTTTTTTCCAGTTCTTTACATTTCAGCATTTCAATTCCTATACTGCACTTTATTTCTTAGGAGTATTTTCAACTAATCGTTGTTGTGAACCTCTGCGAGGCTGGGTCATTGTAACTTCATTGTAAGTTTTCATTTGCTTAATGAAATTTAATTTCTGAATTGTTCTGTACTTGTTTTTTCTTATCGATTTCTCCTAAAATAAGCCACTAGTAAAAGTCCTTTACATTAAGGCTGAAAAAATTTCAACACAACCGTCTGATAATTGGTTGACAATTAAAATTCTGTAAAGACTGATTGATCCTTACTGGCATGCTTAAATTTACATTATTAACCCTCGAAAGCCAACATATATTTTTGGCACGCCCAGTGAGACATATTAAAAATGGCTAGACGTAGAGCAAGAGGAGAAAATGAATGTCTGGAAGAGGGTGTAGAAAGAGAGGTAGAAATACCTAACCTAGAGGAGAATGTAATGGATGCACATGTCCCATCAGATCCTCCACAAATGGTTAAACAGGCCAGCACTTCAGATTATACAACACATGTCCAACACACTGGACAGGGCGATGAGACTGGACCTTCGAATATCCCTTCTACCCACCCAATAAATCCATGGGGAGATTTAGTAGATGCTATGGGGCAACAATTAATGTATACAATGAAAAGATGGGCAACATTTTTTTGGATCGAGTAAACTCCCATCAACCAATGATCGAACGACAGGCTGAAGAAAACATGAATTCCCTTCAGCATAGATTGGATCGAGACAAATAGCCTATGCAAAATAATGAACAAACCAATGGTCAGACTAGCAATCATAGTCATGGAAGGTCACCGCCTGTGCTTCAGTCATGGTATAAAGCTCCTTCAAGACCACCAACAAACCAAAATGTACCATTGCCCACCAGCAAAACCATACAAATTTGTGGATCTAGGCCAACACAAGAGAATGGTATGAGGATGTTTCCAAATCCTGTGTTCAAAGCCATACCTGGCACACGGGATTTCATTAATCCTATGTTTGAATTTACACCTGGGGGGCTGGAGGGATTTCCTATTGCTGGAAGAGAAACAACACATGTTCCTCCTCTTGTAGTATCTTTCATAGGACCTTTCCCAGGACAGATTCCAAGAGGTTAGCCATACCTCCAACAGCAACCAGTGTAACAAGGACAACCAGCCTTGAATGCACCCACATATAGACCAAGAGGTCCTCAAGCACATGGAATTCCTTCAAACCCTGTGTTTGTTCCTCCAGTAATGGTTCAAGCAGCACAAAATATAGTTCCAAGGGACCAAATTGCTGATATAATTAGGGAATGTGTGGACCTATGGCTCAGGGGGTCCAGACACCAGTGTACAGAAAACCTTACCCAAAGTGGGTGGATCGGGTATATAAGTATCCTAGGAGGTTTAGAATACCAGACTTTGCTCTTTTTTATAGGAATAAGAATCAGTCAACGGTGGAGCACATTGCTAGATTTACAAGCCAGTGTAGTGAGTTTGCCAATAATGATTACGTGAAACTGAAACTCTTTCCAAACTCTTTAACTGGAGCAGCCTTCGTATGGTAGATAAACCTTACACTTGGCTCTATCCAAACTTGGTAGCAAATTGAGGAAGTTTTTCATGCCCCATTTTTCCAAACAGAACCTGAAGTTTCTATAGCAGACTTGGCAAGATTGAGCCAAAGGCCTGATGAGAAGGTTGCTCAATTTATTTCCAGATTTAAAAGGGCACGAAACAAATGCATGGTCATGCTACCAGAGCCTGAATTTGTAAGATTGGCTCAAAATGGCTTGGAATTTAGGCTTCGAAAGAAATTTGATTCAACTGAGTTTTGAGACTTAGTAGAGTTAACCTATAAGGTGTCTAGATATGAAACTTACACAAGGAAGAACAAGATCGAAGTAATGCATCATATAAGGCTTACTATAGGGACCCTAATTATAAAATTGATAGAGTAGAGAGAGTAGGAAAAGAACCTATGACTTATGAGGCATTAATTCAGAAAGACAATACAATAGACCAGCAGTTTTCAAAGAAAGACCTGTATAGGACGTATTCTTTTGACTTAACAAAAACATATGACATTTTTGATCATTTGTTTGCAGCAAATTTCCTAAAGATACCAAAGGACGTCAAGATTCCTACCCTTAAAGAACTTAAAGGAAAATTGTATTGTAAATGGCATAATTCTTAGTTTTATTCAACTAAAAAGTGTATTGTTTTTCGAGATAGGACCCAAGAATAGATTCGGAATGGGAGGCTAAAGTTTCCAGCCAAGTCTGAGAAAGCTATGGGAATTGACACCAACCCGTTTCCAAAGATTGGGGAGGCTGCAGCCAATGTTGGCATGCCAAATTTCCAAAACCTATCATTGAAAAAATTTGAGGAAGTTACTGTACAGATGCATGTGGCTAGCCAGGTAACTTTCAGGAAGAACACAAAAAGTTCACCAGCTGATAGACAAAGCTCTACAGGCCTAAAAGAAGGCTCTGGTGAAGAGATATTGGATGATGACTCTCTCGAAGCTGCTACAGTGCAGAGGATGTGTCCTAGGTGCATGATGTGTTACAAGTGGCAGAAAGGGCTCCAAGTTGATGGAAAACAACATTACAAAGAGGTGTAGAGGGACCGAATAACCAGCACCCATAACAAGAGGCCATACCTAACTGGCCCTAGACATCATTCATCCTTTGTAGCCCCCACCAGACACTAGGATGCAATCAAAAGGAAAGAGGCCTCTGTATGAAACTAGGCCACCCAATTATTACAGAGTAGACAACTAGCTTGAAAGGAAGCATGGATTCAGTGCA